AAATGCTTATCGACGTGGTGTTCACGTCGCTCGCGTTGTTTGACGACGTCGCGGTTTGAGAGACGTGCCCCCCCCCCCCCCCCCCCCCCCCCCCCCCCCCCCCCCCCCCCCCCCCCCCCCCCCCCCACCCCCCCCCCCCCCCCCCCCCTTGAGCAGTTCTTGACGTGCGGTCGTAAGCAAGTTTAAAGAAATTTTAAACGATATTCATTTTATGAACTCTTGATAACATGACCTTCGAACTTCGACACTGGTTTTGAGCTTTGGCAACAGATATATCAGACATGCACAGCTGTTTCCCTCTATGATGGAACGGAGCCACAGCCACGTCTGTTGCAGAGAGGTTTTCCTTCTTTACAATACATATTTCTTTGATTCTAACCTCCATAGTACCGTATACTAGGATTAAACCCATTTTGTTTTATACGAGAACAGGTACTTACTTTAGTTCATGCACTGCACATGCGATTCTCGAGAATACTGGAAACCAAAAGTTGTGGGAAAGTTGCTTTGCCTTTCTAAAAGACAATCAAATTGGAGCTGCGAAAATTGGCTCTATGCCAGCTACCCGAATGACACTCACGTGATGCATAATTCACCAAAAAAGTTACCTCTTCCGACGTCGGCGCAAAAATCGCTTTTTTTGGCGGGATCGTTGTATGAACTTCCCTGACTTTTCCAGATTTTGACAAAAATACTTAAATTCCCTAACTTTTCCCTGAATATTTTGGTCAATTTTCGAATTCCCTGACTTTTCCCGGTTCTCCTGGTTTTCCAGGTAACGTGGCAACCCTGAAATTTGCAATGGAACTGACGTCAAACGACATTCTAATGACGAAAATTGTTGCCCAATCAAACGTGTAGATGCCTCACATATAAATGCATCGTCTCTTGCATAGTTAATCATCTCAAAAAAAATCTCAGAAGGTGTAACATGGAAAGCGAGAAGGAGCATATAAAACACTGCTTGTTATACAAGTTCGATAAAAAGACTACAGCAGCCGCAGCATGTTGCAATGTTTGTCAAATTTATGGGGAGGATGCAGTAGACAAAAGCACATGTCGTTGATGGTTTCATAAATTCAGGGAAGGAGACAGAAGCTGCCAAGATCAGGCTAGGAGTGGATGGCCATCACACGTTGGAGAAGACGATATTGACCAAGCCATAAGGTACAACTCAAACCCAACTGTGCAAGAATTAACTGAGACCTTCAACATACTTGAGAGGTGGCTGGTTAAGTTAGGTTTTATGAAAAAGTTGGATCATTGGGTTCCACATAACCTGGCAGCTAATCAGCAGGATGACTGAATTGCCACCTGTATGCTTTCCCAGTACAAAAACAACCCATTCTTGACACGAAATGTGACAGGAGATGAGAAGTGGGTTATGTACCATAACATAAAATGTCGTAGGACTGTGTGTTGATGTAGGCATAGGACTGTGATACACCTGTATCGACTTCAAAAGCCGAACTTCATTCCAAGAAGGTGTTATTGAGTGTGTGGTGCGATGTGGTGGGAATAATTCACTGGGAGGTCCTGCCACTCAACAAAACTATCACTGCTGCCTTTTACTGTCTACAGTTAGACAGGCTGCATTCAAATTTGGTAGCAAAGCCGCCAGGTTTCATTAATCATCGTCATGATAACGCCAGACACATGCAGCTTTCATCACTCGACAAAAGTTACTTGGGTTTGGTTGGAAGGTTTTATGCCATCCTCCCTATCCTCCTGACTTGGCACTAACTGACTATCACCTATTTCGCGTGTTGTACAATGTCTTCAGTCAGAAAATCTTTGATGATCTTGATGCTGTGAAAACTGCCATCCAAGACTTTTTTGATTCGAAACCTCCGGAATTTTACTGCCATGGGATTCATCTACCAGAAAGATCACAAGAGATCATAGTTACAATGGAGATTATGCACAATAATAGGTACATTCATTTTGCGTTTATTTGCTCTTCTTTGTGGGTAATGAAAATGGGTAGAACTTTTGCACTTACCCAATATTACACACATTTTCTGTTGACTGCTGTAATGAAACGATTAAAGAGAAAAAGACAAATTACTAATGACAGAGATATGATGAAAACAGTGAAAATTTTGGATTACTCTGTCTTTACAGATAATACACTAAAAATACTACATTCTAAAAATTCCAAGTTCTGCACACATCATTTCTCAAAGTGGTTGAAATTAATTTGTAAATCATAATGTTCAAACTAAAAAGTGGGAAAATTTACAGCTTTTACAAAACAATGTTAGTAAACATGAGAAAATATGAATGGTGCTATATTAAAAATAATATAAAAATTATAAAAATTTTGAAGTTATGTATTACAGGGTTCATAGCCACATTTTAGTTAACAAAATAAGCACCTATAAGGGCTTTTCAAGCACATTTTAAGAAAAAAAATAAGCACCTGTCTAATTACATTATACACAACTGCATAACATTAAAATTAGACTCGTAATTTAAAATATGAGAAATGCAGTATTTATTAAGAGAGAATAAGCATTACCTCAACCATGGAAAATAATTACTTTTTTTAATTTTAAATAACAGTTCAATTTACAGAACTAGTTTACAATGAGAGAAAAAAAACTAGGCAGAACTAAACTATATTACAAGATTTAATGATGAAATTTCAGTTCAAAATAGAGGAAATATATAATAATAAGGCATATTTATTCTATTCGCTTGGAACTTAATACAATTTATTTTCCCACTCATATTGATATTTAACTAATTTAAATCTAAATTCTGAATTTAAATCTAAATTTTCTAAATTTTCATCGTATATCAGTTTTCCCTTAACAGATATTGCAAGCAAAGTAATTTAAGTAAAAAAGAGAACATTTCTGAAATCAAAAGACAGAAATTTGCTTCATGCAGTCATCCTTTAACAGTAAAAGCTTAACTACCCGCATACTTGAAAATTGGCGAATATTCGACAGTGGACAGTCAAGCATAACTTGAAAAAGAAAAGCGGGGGGGGGGGGGTGTAGACTGCCGCCGTTCTTTAGATTTTTCTGCTAAATAAATGCTTTTGACATTTCGATATGTGCATCATATAAAAACAAACCAATGAATTGAACAGAAAAATATTCTGCTTTGCAAGCACAGTAAAACTCTTTTAAGTGTTCATAAACAAATCTCGGACCGAACATCAAAATTAATTTATCTCTGCAAAATATCCCAAATGTTATTGTGCAATACATGCGCCGTAATTCTTCCCTACATGATATTACGCAAACGGATTCATTCAACAGCTGCCGGTATTGAGAGAATAAAGAAAAAGAAAGAGACTTACCAATCTGGGGTGTTTTTCATTCTAATTTTCAACAGACTGCGTTAAATTTCGGGAATAGAATCATTATTCTGCGGTAGACCGCAGAACTTTTAGTCCTATTCAATCCAGATTGGAAAGTGACCAAAAAAAAAAAAAAAAAAAAAAGCGTCCATTGCTTGTTTTGCAGCAAACTGTAACAGTTTCAATATTTGAGATTTTGCGGAGAAAGGGGAGAACCTCCCAACCTTCGTACTGGATAATGTATTGGCCAAAAAAAAAATGACATTATTTTGACTATTCGATTACTTTCCCTTTATTTAAGCCATTCCGAATATTATTCCTTAGAAAGCTAACCTGTGTTAAAACACAACCATTTTTGGAAGTTTACTATACTTCAGCAGTTACTGCAACTATGTTATTATAAACATTCATACATACGCTCATAATATAAGCATAACGATCATAATAAACACGAATATGAACGAGAATGCAAATTATTAAGATCTTGATAGAAATTCAAACGTATGTAGTATTTGGGTGGGAGGAAAAGAATGCCGAATGTACCGGAATTTTCTACTGCTTTCGCAATTCTTCGACCAACAGAACGACGGGCACCTGTCTGTAGTCTTCGCGCACACCAAAGGTTATGTTAATGCACAGAAAGGGGGAAAAGCTATTTCCGGGAGTATGATTCCCCATCTGACATTCCATATTAGGGGCTTTAAAGAAAAAGTAAGCACCTATAAGGGACTTTATATTTTATTTTGAAATATAAGGACTTATAAGCACTTATAAATATCACTACGAACCCTGATTAGATGATTAAGTTTGACAGTTCTGACAATTAAGCCTGAGGATAATTTAATAAGGAAGTAAAAGTAAATAAATAAAATACTGATCCTCTACAACTTTAAAATCTGGACATGAATAAAGTAAAGATAAACCTTAACCTTTTTTTTTTTTTTTTTTTTTTTCATATTTTCATAAAACTATCTTCAATTTAATATGTACAAGAAACTTGATGTTCATTAAGTACTAGTGTCAGTGAAATGAATGAATGTTGGTCATTTCAGAAAACAAAGTGTTGAAGTTACTGACCCTTAAGACAAAGTATAGAATCCAGATTAGAAGTTAAGGTGGTTCCCTTCTACATGAAGCAAGATCTTTTAAATTCCAAAATAAAAACCTAAATGTTTCCATGATACCAAAAAGTTTCAGTTGATTTACCGATCTTTGATATACTGACTGCAAAGTAATCATCTGATTGACTGAGTAATGACACAAAACCTAATAAAGTTCCTCACTTTTATTCTGTTAAACTAAGTGTTTGGAAACCTAGTGAACTGCTAAATGAATAATCACTGAAGTCCAAGAACAGAAACTTAAGCTCAAGAAGGGTTAATTACCCTTTATTTCACTCAAAATAAGATTAAGTCGGCCCCTTTCTCAAGGGCATACAGCAAAGTCTCCACTTGGGCTTAAAATGTAAGAAATAAGAATTAACTAATGACTAGCCAAAGCTAACACAATTCTAAACTAGTTGGCCTGTAATATTAAATTAGCCAGCAAACTATCAAAAAGCACATAATAGTTAAGATGTTCCTAATTCACCGACTCTTGACAAATTAAAGATGATTCATCAATCTAAAGACATTCAAAATTTTAAACATCAGTTATAAAGAACATGAAAGTAACAAATAACACTTACAGAATTAGGTCTTGTCAATTTAAGCATATCGTGTTCAGGATGCTTGTTAGCAGCATGGCAGGAGGAGCATAAATCAAAATCTTTGCACTCAAGACACTTATAACGGTAACCTTTAACACTGTTATTACATCCATCACATTTTACAAAAGGATGAACTTCTTCATTTCTTTTAGCAGCATTAGCTTCGTTTGTCTTAGCAGCATTATTAACTTCAGCAGCTCCAGCAACTGGAATACTTGGCATTGGTTGTAAAGTAATATATAACTTTATCAAACCATCTTCAGCATTAGCTAATGCCTGAGCTAATTCAGGATCACTTGACATTTGAATTAAATCATCATCTGAATCTGAAAATTTGAACATCATATTAGCATTTCAAAAAATATAAAATTTATCTAGAGATATCGGCAAAAAATCTTGCAACTTAAGTGACATCTAACATTCGTATTAGATATTTTTTACCATAATATACAAAATATTAAATATCTAAAATAAAAATAACAGATAATTTGGATAATTCAGAAGAATTACAATTAAATTCTATACTACAACACTTTCTTGCAATGAACTGAAGCATGCCTTGTAGCGTAGCAGATCCAGCTAGCCAAATAAAAGGTTTTGGGCTTGGTATTAAGAAAGCTTATGACAGATTATTCAGTATTTCTATACACACACAAAATATATATTTATTATCAGTCTACAGAAAACACAATCTAAAATGTAATGATTAATAACTTTTAACATAGTTTTTTTTTTTTTTTTTTTTTTTAGGTGCAATTCATACAATGTAGGATCTGCCAAAAAAGAAAAAAAAAAAAAAAAAAAAAAAAAAAAAAAAAAAACTTTCCTCTTTCTTTACAAATGTATTCTCCAAAAGAGTGAACATGTTTGAATTACACTTCATGAAATTAATACATGCCTCAAAGTCGAAACTGCAAAGCAGCCTTCATAAAATTTAGGAAGAAAAATTTTCAGAAGACATAGTTTGCTAAATCACACATTTCTGTTCTTACTTTTCTTAGTGCAATGCTTATTAATTACTGTTCTATTTTATTTTTGCATATTTTACTTAGTTATTTTTAAGGTGCAAAAAATATAACTACCTTTTTCTACACTTATATTTATTTCATGTTTTTTTCTCACCCTTTCTTTAAGGGGATTTCAAAGATGAAACTTGAAATATCTAAACAAAAAAGTCTGGGGAAAATCTATTATGATACATACTGATATAAATCTATACCAATAATATATCATCTATATTGATACTATATCAAGCTAAATACGTGAGCGAAGAAAGAAGCTAATGGTGCCGAAAATGTATAACTACAGAAAACACCTACTTTTCTTGACTGCTTCAAATATATTATAAAAGTGTGAAAAATACACAGGTAATCTTAATGTACTGGGCACATATCTTATATTGGTTTAGCTGTTTACTTCTGTTTCCGAAGAATTTTGTCAAGAACAAAGCATGTTGAATTGGCTATGACTTCATGCATCAACTTTGATAGTCATCATAATGATCTTTCAACACGATAGCTGCTTTAAGAATAATTCGTGACCTCAAAATTAACTATTTTAGATTTGGTGCTTGCTCTCCCCCTAAATTCATCTGTTATCCCAAATTCAAGATCCTTCTATGTTATATAACAACCTAAGATTAACCAATCATAGCTTGGAGTACTTTCTGCATGTACTTAGTATAAATGCTCTTGGCACAAAAAAAAACTACATCATTCTTTTCCCATCTTCGCCACTGCTAAGATATCCCACTGCTCTGCTTGTCCATCTAAAATGATGTTGCTCCCCATTTACCTGTGTAAATTATATATAAGAAATTATTGTAATTTATTATGATTGGATAAATATCTACCGAGATGATTTTATATGAGTGGAAATAAAGATTGGGAATTCGTCTAATTCATTTTGTGTCGGCTTCATCTTTCCACTCCGGCACGACTGCGCATCACATAAAACTAAAATTCAATTCTAAAAATTAAAAAAAAATAAAAGTTATTAAACATTATGCATTATTACTATAATAATGTTATGTCCAATATTTGTTTATTATTTCTTAAATTCAAGAAATGCCAGTTTCCCTTAAGCCCTCCACAAAGGCATTCCCCCTTGGCAGGTAGCATTCATGTGTTTTGTCATATTCAAATAATCTAACCTTAAATTCAAGAAAGTACCAATATTTGAAATAATCAACTTTATTGATTTTTTTTAAAGGCTTGTTGATGTTCTTGACAACTTAGTACATTACAAAAATTAAGAACACATACCTTTCCATGCAATCCGAAAGCTTTTATCCTTAAGAACAGGATAAAGTTCCAGAATTTTCTGTTCCAAAAATACAAATTTAGTCAAAACATCACTGCAAACTGCCAGTCTCCTAATTTCTGGAATCCCATTTCCAGAATCATAATATACTTTAATAACATGAACCATGTTTGAAAACTTTCTTCCCCTGAAATCAAAGTTACAGAACACTTTAATTCAGAATTACCACAGTAAAAAATAATTTAGGAAAAACACAAATAATACTTTATTACAGAAAATAGCAATGTACACAGGTATGCAAAAAAAAAAAAAAAAAAAAAAAAAGTTAAAAAAGATAAAATACAGTAAAAGCCCAACTATCCAGCATTCAACTAACTGAAAAAAGCTCCGAAAAGTTTTGGAATTGCAGTTTTTTTTAAACATCCTTTCAGAAAAATTAAACATATGGAAGCCTTTTAAAGCCATTATAAAGCACATACAAGTCTCTAGATACCCTGCTGATAACTTCATGCATGCATTTCTTTTGGAAGACCTTGCGTAAATATCCCACCACTATCATAGTATCCATTGTATTGTTCCAAGAATTCTACACCCATGGCCGAAACTGTAGTAGTTTTTACTGTTGGCACTGATACACCTCATAGAAAGAAAAATAGGAAGTTATTACTCAGTAGAGTTCCCATTAGAAGTTCTTTATGACATATGAGACTCCGAACTCTATGGAGAGGTACTCTTGTAATAGATAGACAGTGCTGAGGTCACTGCACAGGGTGGAATATGGAAGGATGCCATGGACAGTGTTCCAACAGAAATTGCTTTCACCTGTTCTACCAATACATACTCCAATGAATTGGTCATAAGTTTAATGCCATACTGGTAAAAATTTTAAATGTTTTACAGATCTTTTAGTGCAACAGCAACCTTGCATTTATTTTGATTAATTATCCCTCTACCGAGTCGAAATTGTCATCAGAACTTAATTAACTTGTAAAAATGGAAGATTCTTCAGCATCTAACAAACAAAAGCATGTTGTTTTAATAGTTAACTTAGAAATTAGAAATAATCAACAACCTTAAAAAAAGCAAAAACAAAATTAAAATTCAATGAGAGACTTTACCATTGAATTATACAAATTTTATGATATTAAATCTCAAAAAGCAAAAATTATTCAAATTTGCCTTTTGTGCAGAGACTAGCAAAACTCCTAATGAAAGACAAACTTCACAGCAGCCTCAATTTAATAAGTGCTGTATGAGTAATTTCGGAAGTATTTTCGGAAATTTAGATAAAGTGCTGTATGAGTGGTTTATACTGAAATGAGAAGTTTCAGTTTCAGGACCAATGCTTATTAAAAAAGTAAATAGTTTTCCCGAAAAGATAAATGGGTAAGATTGCAAACTTTCAGATGAATGGCTTGCTGATTTCAAAAAACATCATGCAATTCACTAAACTGATATATTATGTGAAAAACTGTGCAGAAAAGAGGGTGCTTTTTTTGAAAAGAAGAAAAAAAAAAAAAAAAGCAATACTATAGTATTCAACAGCGCCTTCAAACCAAAAATACCTTCAATTAATTTTGAAGTAAAAAGAAACAATATAGAAACTTCAGAATATTTATAATGCAGATGAAATGGATCTGTTACTTCTAAAGTCTTCCAACTTTGATGATGTTGATAAAATATCCTCACCCAGTATTAAAAAAAAAAAAAGAAAGAGAGAGATTGACAGTTTTTACATGTAGGAATGCAGCTGGATTGCACAGAATAAAATTACTGGTGACTGGAAAAGGCACACATCCTTGAAAACTAGCAGGTACATCTTCCTGTGGCATAAAAACATCAAAAAAATGCTTGGATGGATAAGGATATTTTTCTTTACTGGTTCTTCTTTACTGTTTTTTTTTTTTTTTTTTTTTTTTTTTTTGTATTATTTGCTGTGAGAGAGTTGAAATCTAAATGTAAACCCAAAGGTAGCCAACAGGGGCGTAGCTAGTTTCCAGCACCCGGGGACATCTGAAAGATTTGTGCCCCTTTCTGTGTGCCAAGAATGGAAAACATTTCATTAAAAATTTTCATAGCATCAGTTTGGTGCCCCTTAGATGCAGCACCCAGGGACAGGTGTCCCCCCTTGCCCCACCCTAGCTACGCCACTGGTAGCCAAGTTGTTTTGCTCACTGATAATGACTGAGCAGATACTCACAAGAAGAAGCTATGCTATAGCAACATTAGAACTAGGTATCTTTTTCTGAATGTTATTGCTTTGATCCAGGCAATGGGCCAAGGAATTATCTAACACTTAAGAATGATTTATCAGAAAAATTGTATGAACAGACTTGTGTATGTTGAAAGGGCTAATCTTTGGAATATGGTAACAGGTAGTCTGGCAACATTTTAGTAAGGCGATAAAGGTTACTAGCTAGGACTTTTAGCAGTGTACATGGATAAAGTCAAAAGTGTGCGCAATGCCATTTTTGTGCAATTCTGAGATGTTTTTTTAAGTGAAAATAGGTCGACGTGTACATGGATACTGTGTATGTGCAATTCTTAAAAACGCGGCAAGCAGTTTGTGATTCTGCACTTTCTCCCCATTTTGCACCTAATCTTCGTCATGATGAAGCACTTTTGTTCCATAAAAGTTCTAGCATAAGCGTAATTCGGCTAGCAGATCGTTGGAAAAAAAATGTTGAGTAAAAAAAAAGCCTTTACTTCGTGAAAACAAAATGGCATCCAAACAAAAACTAGCAGGTTGCTGTAACAGGGTTGGTCGCCAAATTTTCGCCAAAAAATCTCCAAGTTACCATAATCCAAAGATTAACTGTTGAAAGTTCCCCAACACAATTTCTGTCTGCATTTTCAATGAAGATGACATTTACGGGCTTGAGAATGCTTGGAAATCTGTTAGAAATCAAACTTTTAGCAAAAAATGGAAGATAAGAACATGTTCAAACAAAAATATTAAAAACCTTAAAATGTAGAAACAAAGCTAAAGAATCCACTTCTAGGCCAGAAACCAACTTCTTTGTGACAAAAATTGGCTTGTAACAGATATGTTAACAGAAGAGGAAATTCTGATTCACCAAAATATGAAAATGGAAAGAAAAAAAAAAAAAAAAAAAAAAAAAGGAATTTCTTGGGGTAAAGCAAAAAAGGAACTTCCACTGAAACAAACAGACATTCACAATTTATTCAATCAAATATCGACAGCACCAGGAAAATGTTCAATCAAATATCGACAGCACCAGGAAAATGTTAATGTATTAAAGATTTAAAAAATGTAGTTATTTTTGGAAAATTAAAATGAAAATAATTCTCTTCTATTAAATGAATTTTTGGCAAAGTCTTACAATTATTTAAAAAAATTTGGTATTTAATGTGCTTTCCATATTAACGTGATTTAACGCCAATAATGTATATGTGTAACGTCACAGCACAATCATAAAACTTTACCTTAGTTCTATGCACACCGAATTAATTCTTGATAAGTTGGTTCAGTTTTTGCAAAGAAAATGCAAGTTAATTACTATTTATGAGTTTCTGCTCGCAATTTGAAAAAATGGTTAAAATCTAGGATCTGCTTCTACAGAATAGCATATTCTACGGTGATATTTTCAAAGTTAGAAATGGTAATGAAAACGTGTTTTAATGATCATGATACGTGATTTTAGTTGAAAATGTATAAACAATGGCGAGTCAACAAGCAAAATTATGATACACGACTTAAGTTTTTTATAAGCTATACCTGTAACTTCAATCACATGATTTTGATGAAAAAGGAATGATCTTCTTCCTATGCTTCTACAGAAATGTCTGCAGGCATATCAACTCATTTTCATCGTCGACAATATTTTACAAACGGATATTTTTATAATTTTAGACTGGAAATTTCATTCTTTATTTATATGGCTTTTCTAACATGAAGTGCATTTTGCATATGCTCCATCTATCCAGAAATTTCCCATACCTGGAATTCGGTATTTCATACCTAGAATGCCTGGCTACTTTCAGAGTATTTTGCCTTACCCAGCAACAGGCAATGCTAGATGGACCTTTTTTATCGTATACTTAAAAATTCTGCTTTTGCAAGTAAAAGCTCTGAGATAGACCTTTAATTCTTTAAAACCCAAAGCCTTTGCTAACCTGTATGTTAAAATGCTGAACCGCCCGAAATGGTTTTCGAGAGTCACAGCAATATCCTCCCCTCCCCATCCATTAATGCACAAAGAATAGTGAAGGTTTCAAATCACATCCTTTCTACTTCTAACAAATAAAGATAAGAAACCAGAAATAAATCCTTTTAGGACAAGCTGCTTGCAATAAACTGATACAATGCATTTGCGAAACTGCACCTGCTACTGCATACCTTAGGGGATGGAACAAAACAATACCTGAATTTCGGCCGTTTGGGGTGGTTTTGATCGGCCATCTGCTCTGATATGGTCTTCAAAGAGTTAAATAAGGAAACCTAGTGAAAATTCAAATGAGCAGAAATGAATTGCACAAACTAGGCATGGCATGCTGCCTTAATGTTGTCCAATACACATCGATCTATTTTCACTTAAAAAATATCAGGAAGTTAAAACTATCAACCAGAAATGTAACTGGTAACCAGAAATGGGATTTCATCACCAAAATTGAAAAACATTTCTTGCTAATTGAAGGGCACTCAATTCTACACTAAAGCCGAAGGCTATGATAATAATGCCTCCTCATCAGTCAATTAATGGTTGGCAATATATGTATTATGGTTTTAAATTTAGAAAATATCACCACATATTGTGAAGAAAGCGAGACAGAAGTTGCTGAAAATGAAAAGATTTCAACTGATTATTTAATGGGATTTCTTGGCAATAAAACTTCATAACTGAAAACACAAAATTACACTTCTCTATAAAATTTATGCAACAGTATTAATACATTTATAAAAATTGCCTAAATAACACATTAAATTTTCCTTATTTATAACCTATTATTTAAAGTATACTTTCTCAAATATTTAAATTTACAATTACATAATGAAAACTTCAGAACTTTCCCTAACTCTAAAAATGCTCTTAAGGTAGGAGAAGCATTTCACACATGCAGCAGCATGAAAATTTTACATTTTAAAAATCTAAACACAATAAAATTTTCAAGTAAATTCACTTATAACTTCTACAGAAATGAGTTGATCCCCTAAACTGTACAGTTCACCTCATGAAAATTCTCTATAGATGCTTACAGACATTTCTACAGAACTCTATAGGAATTTTTATACAGCTCTATAATCTTTTTCCTAAGATATAAACGAAAAATTGATTAATATCAGCTGTGTGGGGGGGAACTAAATAAATCATTACTCTGTGCTAATAAAACTCCTATGATCAGATTATTGAAATCACCATTAATACTAACATTTTATAAAAATACTTACAATAGAGGCAATACAACCGATTAACGTTCAGACTTCTCTCAGAAGCAAAATAATAACAATCAGTCTTCAAGAAATGTTTATATACTTGTTACAAATTGCGAAAACTGATGCAATCGAACCGTTCTACAGTATTCAAGAACTTTCCTTATGTGTGATTCAAGGAATGGTGATGCAGACCATAAATGACGCAGCTGAATCGAACGTTTACTTGTTCCACCTGAAGTCCAGCTGTTTGCAAATAATAAAGAATGACAGTGTATGACTTAGATGAGGAGTTACACAAAACCAGAAACGGCAAATGTGATTGTTAGTTTCAAAACTGCTTATAGAGGGCGCTAAATTTCTGCATGGCCACAGACGACACAAATATATCAATGAATTATTAAAAATTTTATATGTAAAAAAAAAAAAAAAAAAGCAAAAAAAAAGAAAAAAAAAAAAAAAAAAAAAAAAAAAAAAAAAAAAAAAAAAAAAAAAAAAAAAAAAACAAAAAAAAAAAAATTGAATAATTAATTTATATATGTTTAGATAAAATTCAAGCATCTTTTTTATTTTAATGTCAAAGAGAAAACTAATTTAATAATGCATTATGGTTTTCAATAAAGGCAAGTAAAGAAAAAGTATACTGAACAGGTATAGTAATTTTGAACACACATATTTTGGAAAAGATTTTTAAATATGTACGTATATTAATTTTCATATAAACTCATATAAAAAATTTTATTTACATTCAATAAAATAACGATACGGTACCCTCGAGTTATTAATATCACTTCCGTTATAAACATATCTGAGTTTATAGTAGTTTATAACTAAGAACATATAGTGAATTTGAGTTTCAGAAAGCAGCGCCTCCTTTTACTCTGTATCACGTGAAAAATATCAGTAAAACAAAAAGACGAAAATAAAAGTCAGGTGGCCGCCATCAATCGACGAAAAATGTGAGTTTCTGGTCGAAGGTCCAAATCAGTGAACTGGTAAATCTAGCATGAGTAAAAAATGTTAAGGATGCAGAATGTCAGATGAATATTTGTGCTTTTCTCTGGGAACTGGAGAATATCTAAGAGAGTTGATGCAGTTGTTAGGATGAGTGAGAACTGAATAAAAGAAATTTTCTGGCACGTTTTTGACTATAATCTTGAATTGTATCTACTGACCATGGTGGATATACGAATTTTGAATGAACCATGGCGCGTTGATAATCTGTCTGAGTGCTTTGTTTTGAAGAACTTGGATGTGTTGAAGGTGAGTTTTGGCAGCGTGGCCCCAGACAGGACTAAAATAGAGTAATGCTGGTCGAAGTATAGCTTTATATAAGAGGAGTTTATTAGAAGCAAACATGTGACTTCTTCTGCCAAGAAATGGGAGCATAGTTGCAAGCGTTATATTAATTTTTTTCACACTTTCCCTGAAAAGTCGATTTTTTATGAAGAATGACTCCTGGATATTTAACTTTGTCAACCCAGTCAATTTCTTCATCAAACAGAAGAAGTCTAGATGGAGTAAAATTTGTTTGGCCTTTGCGAAAAATTATTGCTTTTGATTTTTCGGTATTAACTGTAAACCTCCAAAGAGCCAATTTTGAGCCAATTTTTCTAGATGATTGAGGTAATGTTGAAGAAGGAGCTGGACAACAGTAACAGTAGAAGCTTCGGGTCATTAATTGCAGTATCATCAGCGAAAAGAGCAATGGTAATTTGTGGGTCCTTAGGAATATCGTAAATATAAATGTTATATAAATATAGAGAAAGTACAGATCCTTGGGGCATTCCAGCAAAACTTTTCTCGTGGAAGAAACAGAACTGCCAATTTTCACTGTAAAGATTCTGTCTTGGAGATAGGAAGCAATAAGTCTAATACAATGATCGGTGAAGTTTAACTTGATATATTTGTATATAAGTCCCCGGTGCCATACCCTGTCAAAAGTTTTCGCAATATCAAGGAAAATGGCTCCGGTAGGAAACTTACAATTGAAACCGTCGGTAATATAGAGCCCTAAGTCTGAATACAGTCGAGATGGAAGAACCGGTCGTTTTTTGCGATCTACTCGACAGAGACCGAGTCTGGTGTCATCGTCTCGATCATTACAGAGATCGACGCGCCGGAAATTTTTCCGTCAGCTGCGTAGCTGCCGTTTAACTTTCTGACTGTCGTTTTTGAGCTAAACACAAGGCGGCGGAATTCACGGATAGTTTTTGGAAGTGTGGGTAATGGATATTTTATTTTCTTAAGATTCTATTTTATACCGGGTGGCCATAATTAAACTGACAGTGTTCTGTAGCGCGATTTATTTGCGAGAATGACGCCACATTTTGTAGGAAGATTAAACAAGACGGGGGACGAAGGATTCCGAAAAAAAAATGAGTTCCAAAAGTCACCGCTAGGGAATATTTGGCGCTGTGTAATAGAAAATAGAGTGTTAACAAATGCAAATTATTGCGGAATAAAATTACCTTTTATTATGCACATTTTCTGATTTAGTTCAAGTGCAATATGGCAACACTTTTAAAAAAGCGTAAAATCCACATAAACACCGATAGTCTCGTGATCTGTAATATCACGTACGCTGAGCAGCAGAAGAAGTTCTTTATTCAAATTTCACGTTACAGCCATTCGCACAGTGCCAGCTGCTTGGGTTTTAAAAGGCAATGTGTTACGTTTCAAATCAATCGGATTGAAAGTTTATGTGCAATGTTTCCTTCTTTAGTCGAGCGTGCGTTACTGGTCAAATTCTTTTACCTCAACCAGTGCAACGCGTCAGCCGCTCTTTGTGCTTTTAAAACTCGCCACAAAAAAATGCATGAAGGTAACGGTTCTGTGTCAGTTAATTAGGCTAAAAGAAATAGTTGCGACGTTTGAGAAAACAGGTTCTCTGAAGGTTCAGTCAGGCAGAGGACGAAAATATTGTACCACAGGATACAATCGAAGCAGTTGCCACGGCGATTGTCGACAGAGAGAGGACAGAAACAATATTGCTGCCACCTCTAGTACTCGTGGAGTAGCTCGGAATATGGATATGCCTTTACAGTACGGTATGGAAAATCTTACGAAAGATTATCAACTTCTACCCGTACAAGATCAGCCGTGTACAGGAGTTACTGTACCCCGACCATGATAAGAGATTGACTTGCTCTCACCTTTCTTGCCAGAATGGAGGTGGATGATGCTTGGCCGTGGAAAATCGTATGGGGAGACGAGGCCCACTTTTACCTGAATGGAACTGTGAATACACAGAACTGCCTAATTTGGGATGACAAACCACCACATGCAGTCACAGCAATTCCCTTACATTCGCCAAAGGTAACTGTTTGGTGTGGGTTCACAGCGGAATTTATCGTAGGTCCATTCTTCTATGAGAACATTACCCCGACAGGACCGGAAACCTGTTCTGTTACCGGAGAGAAATATCGCCACATGTTGAACAGCTTTGTTATTCCGGCACTTCAGCAAAGACAATGCCTGGGGGAAATCATTTTCATGCAAGATGGAGCCCCTCCACACTTTGCTGTACGGGTGCAACAGATGCTAGGACAGAAATTCACAAAAGAAAGAGTCATTAGCCGCTATTTTCCAACTGTATGGCCACCTCGGTCACCTGATCTTACCCCATGCGACTTCTGGCTATGGGGTTACCTTAAGTCCAAAGTCTATCAATGAGTGGTCCAGGACCTGGCTACGTTGAAGAATAACATAACACGGACTGTACGGGAGATTCCTGCAGACATGTTACTTTCTGCTGTTGTGCATACTGTGCACAGAATGCAGTATGTGGTCCACAACAACGGCAGCCACATTGAACCTCATTTGAATGCAAAATAAAAGGTAATTTCCGTATCGATTGCATTTGTTAACACTCTATTTTCTATTACACAGCTCCCAATATTCCCCTAGCGGTGACTTTTGGAACTAATTGGTTTTTTCGCAGAATCCTTCGTCCCCCATCTTGTTTAATCTTCCTACAAAATGTGGCGTCATTCTCGCAAATAGATCGCGCTACAGAACACTGTGAGCACTGTCAGTTTAATTATGGCCACCCGTTATATCTCTATCTAACGATTCTATTTTGATTGGATTATTTCGACTTACCAAACCTATAGCATAGACCCTTATCAATAAGTTAGCCATATTTTACCAGAGCATCCATATCAAAGACGGCAATAAAATCTGAATGAAAGGTAAAGAATAATTCGCTTGTTTTCATATCAGTATGATATAGGCTTCTGGCTATAGATCTATCAGATAAACAATTTTTTAATTCAATTTTAATGAAAATAATACATTTGATGTTTTTCTTATTCACATGTAAAAAAGAAGGGCTTACTTTTAATTTAAAATTGTAATTTTTAAACTAATGTGTATATTAATGTACTTAATTTCATGTTTTGATGAATAATTTTGAAATTTTATGTTTTAGATTGTAATGTATTAATTTGTAGTGTATAAAAATTTAATACATTGACAAATGCATTAATAAATATGCAGTATATATTCAAATTATGCACATCCTAAATTCAACATTCGTATTAAATTGCTTTGAGTTAAAAAAATTACTTAAGTAGTTTTAACTGTACCGATAGAATGTCAATTTCCAATAGTTTTTAGAATCCAGTGTATAATTCAAGTTTAATTCCTGTATAATTTTCAGTTAAACTAAATTCTCGTAAATATATTAATGCACGATTTATAATTAATTACTAGATTTTTTTTTATGTGATCAGCTTTTAGATGTTATATCTGTCTTGTGTATTTTTTATTCAGATTAAAAAAGTGTTGGTTTTGGTTTTACGTGATTAAGGCAAAGCCTCGAGGGTTATTTGCTAGAGGTAAAGGTTGCTTTCGTGGAGGACTTTCTAAGAGAAACTACCTCGTATACACGTTACACATAGAGAAAACCCCGAAAGCGCCCATGCAGCCACACCATTCACGGGATTCGAATCTCGTACCGAACTACCATTATTCAGCGATTTTACCGCTCGGCTGCTGGTATGATCGGTATAAATAAGACTATTTATACCCTTTCTAAATTGATCTGCAATTTTTTCACTGGATATGTTAATATATTTATAATACAGTTTTATATGCATTTAGTTATTTAATTGTTTAAAAGAGGTTTTGTGTGCATTAAACATTTTTGCTTCTGGAAGTTACCAGAGATATGTTGGTAATGGCAGATACATTGGTAATAATGCCCATGCTACCAGGTCGTTCCCAGGATTCGAACCTCGGACCGA